TACCTAAATATCTTTTATTCTAATGACCTTTGCATATCTGAATTTTCTATCCTTTTTTATGGTGAAAGTTTTAATTTCTTGGGTGCACGCGCGTGCACACACACACACACACACACACACAGCTAAACTTTCCATATAGAGCTTTAGTTAGTCTTCTGTTCCATTCATTTATTCTGTAGGGTATTTACTGAGCACCTACTACCACCTGCCTTGACAGCCTGACCTGTGTGTGCCTGGCAGAGTGCACTAGAATTCAGAATGAAATGAGCACAGCCCCTACAGCCCAGTGTGGAAAACAGACATCAAAGCAATAAACCTAGAAACAACCATAATTATACATTATAGTGTTTTTAAAAGCAAAGGCCAGGGGATTAGTGGAAGCCTAAATTGGGGGGACGAACAGGTAAGATCACTTCGAGAAGTTATATTTTGGCTGAGTTCATGAGGTTGAGGTAGAGTTATGCAGGTGACAATTGGTAGGTTATGCAGTGCTGACAAAGGAAGAGGAAATCTAAAACTMCGAGGTACAACCAGGCAGCAGGGCAGGATCTGAACTGAGGTCATGGCTTTCTTTTATTTCCATTTCCTAACTTCTCTATGAGACCAAACATTCTAGCAGATCAAGAGCAGTGTCTTCCTTTTTTTTTTTTTTTTTTTGTAATCCCTTTCAGCTTTAGGGTGTTGGTTACTAGGGTGTGTCTCAGCTCCAAATCCACCCCATGCACTCTTCTGTGTGATGTTAGGCATGGGATCCAGGTGCACTGCACTGGCCACTGCTCCTTTGCCCAGCTGGCTTCCCAGGAAGTTCTGTCAGTAAGGGCTGCTAGAGGAAGCCTGTGAGACAGGAGGGGAAGGAAAGCTTCTAGTTTGTTCCTTGCACCTGTAGGCATCAACCCAGCTTTTCTTTACTCCAAAAGCAGTTGGCTTTGGTTTTCTTCTCTGCACTCCAATTTCAGAGGTATCAACACCAGCAGAGCAGCATGCTTTTCTCAGATGCCTGGGTCCCTCCTCCACAGGATGCTTCTCCTAAGCTTTGGAGCTCTGATACCTGTATTCTCTTTTGTTTTCACAGACTTAAGGGAGCTGCACCCTGCAGTCACTATCTTTTTCTCTTTCCTATCACCTTTTTGTGTGTTCACTCCTCCAATCTCTGTTTAACCAATTTCTGATATTAATTTCCCCCTGTTAAAATAACTGGTAGGGTGTCTATCTTTCTGACTGGTTCTGACTGAGATATGGATGGTTTAGCTGCTCCTGTCCATACACACCACCTCCTGATGAGGAGTTCCAGCTGGGCCCTTCCAAGGCCAAATGGCCGTGAGTGGAAAAGATCATCCACAAATAAGAAAGGCTGCCAAACTTGAAGGTGCATTCCTTTTTCCAGAAGCTTACACAGTCTGCCTATTACCAATCTCCACTTTGCAATATCTTTTCCAAGGTTAGCAGAATTATAAAAACATCAATTTGGCCATTATTGACTTTTCAACTGGGATACCAAGAATGTCTTTCAGCAGCCCTGATAAATTAGATCTGGCCACCTAGTTCCCAGACTGGAAGGCTCCTACATCATTGACAGAAAAGACAGGAGAAAGCAGTTTTCCCAGCTGTTGCTGTAAATGATGTGCATTGTGCGCACAGCCATTAGCAGGTGGAGAGTTTGAAGTGTGGGTAGATTGCAGAGCTGCCTCTTTTAAAAATGCATAAGCACTTTGTGAGTTTGCTAAGTCATGTTCACTCAGCTGGGCTTGAATTTTTCATAGGGGAGAAATATTTTGTCATCTTTCTTCTTTTACTTCTTCTCAGTAAGGACTACCATGATGAGTTTGAATGAGCAGAATGCTTGTTGTATTACACAAACTATGAAACATCATATATATTAACTACTTCATTTAATATTTTTAAAAGATTGGTTAAGAAGAGACTATTCACCTTATTTTTCAGATAAGGAAACTGAGTCTCAGATCTTTTCTCTGGTACACCACAGCTGACAAATTGTGCAACTTGAGTGTGGAGCTTGAGATCTGCTCTTCCATGTTTTTGTCAACTTAAATAATTTAATAAATGTGTTTAGTTCATTCATTCATTCATCAGACATTTAGCAAACCTTCTCTATGTTCCAGACACCAAAAAAAAATGCTGTAATATCCAACAAATTCAGCAATGGCTTATTCAGAAATAAGGTGGAGCTATTAGACTTTTTGACCAGCAAGTAGTTAATAACTCTACCAAAGGGAATAGGTTTTCTGCTTTTTAAAAGTCAATAAATCAGACTTTTCTTAGAATGAAATAGTTTTCTTCCCACATATGGCTAATCAATTGCAACCTATTTTTCCCCCCAAATGGAGAGAATTATTATTCCAGCCAGTATTGAAACCTCAGCAAATTAGAAGTCAAAGTATGTTGCAGTTTGAAGCACTAAGGCATTTATCAAATCACTGTTTGCTGTGATTGAGGACTGGGGATACTAGAATACCTTTAGTTACATAACTGACCTTTCATGGGTCTCTTTMATGGGACCTGTGAGCATGTATCAGTGGGACTGCAAGGGCAAAGGGGCCTGGTACTTATACCACATTCATGTTTGATTTAGAACCTCTTTGCTTGTGGTTAAGTTCTTGGGAAGAGGGTATTAAAGCAGAAAACGCTTCCAAAAGAGAGATGGAGTGGTTTTCTTCTCACCCTTGATTATTTTTCAAATTTCACAATGACTCTTCACATAGTGCTTTAGCTGGACTGGATTAAACCTATCTTCTTCCTTGATTTTGAAATAATATATAGACTTCAAAAGCCACCTTGTAAATGATCTTGCCAAAACGGTAAAACATTMAAATATTCTCATAAAATATTGAAACGTGGTAGCATGGCAGGCTACACTCAAATTAAGTTGTTCAATTTCCCTTTAATAGTGATAGTGCTTTGAATAAGTGAAAAGTAAGATTTCTATTTGCCCTGAAGCAGGAGGATCCAGCTGACATTTAAGTACATGACGGTCCCAGCAGCTCAGGGAGCAGAACTGCAGCAGAGCTAGGTTCCTGGCTTGCTGTATAGTGGTGGAAGGTTGCGGGAGTTTTCCATGGGAATATAGAAGGATCCTTCACACCACGGTGTCACATTGTTAAGATGATCTTTAGAGAAGACTCCGGTTTCCTCTGGAGTCCACTGAATGGAGTGACTTCCACTGGGAAGGGAACTCTTGGGCAGAAAGACTCAGGGCCTGCACTTCTATGGGTCCAGCAGGGTTCATGGACAAAATATTTATCATCTTGCTTAAAGGTAATGGGCAAGTAGGTCTTGGAGATTATATATATATATATATATATATATATATATATATATATATATATATATATTTCCTTTCCTCCTCCTTTTTCTTTTCTTCAAGGCAAAATTCAATTTCAGAACTTTCCCAGAAAGGAACAAATTACATCTGCTCTGGTCTGATGTGATTACTGTGCTCTAGCCCAATTCATTAGAACCCTTTCTCAGTTGAGTCATATTAACAGGGCTGGCTGAGTTTAGGGGGTGGGGCAGAGGCAGTTCTGCCTGCCCAAGGTGAGAGATGGTCCCTCTGAAGTCCATGCTAGCAGACAGAAGCTATTTTCCATTGCTGATATTTTTAGTCCCCAGCTGCTCCATGTCAAACTGTTTTTATGTTGCATGGGAGATATTTATTTGTAATAGCCTAGGATAACTAGGAGGTCTCTATTGTTGCCCATTGAACTGCTGCTTCTAATTTAATGACTATATAACACAAGGATTTTTCAATCCCATTTTGGAAAGGAACTTGGAAAGGGGGCATAWGTTAGAGATACTTCTGGAGATGTGATTTACCAGGACTTTTTTTTTTCAATTCCTGGGAAACTACAGAGTCCATGGAATTATCTTAAATAATAAGATCAATAAGTAATCAAATCACTTAGATAGGTTAAAAAAAGAGGCATTATAAAAAAAGACAGGACAAAATTTCTCTAATAGTTTGCATGTTAAGTTTTTTTCCCTACCCTGACCATATTAGAAATCATAATAAATTAGGATCATGTTGTAATGTGACCCATCACTAATGAGAATAAGACATTGTGAAAACAAAACTGGGTCTTCTCTAAAACATATGGAGATACTACATTATCCTTGTCTTTAGTATTAGTATATCAAAAAAGGAACTGTGTTTATGTATTTATGTATGTATGTATGTATTTATTTATTTATTTTTTATGGCTTCAGTACAATGCACTGTATGAAATGCCCAGTGATCAGTAAGTAGCATTGAGTTCAGGAATCTGGGAAGACTGGATCTTCAGAGGGTGGAAGGCTGAGAGCAGTGACTTATGTTTAGAAAGATCCTTTGTGCCATAATTGTGGGGTTTTCTGGTTCACTAAGTCACCAACTGTGTATCTGAAAATTCACTCTGTTTCAAAATTGCTGAATGCAGTTCTATGCATCAAGACTTAAGGGAATAGGGAGAGAAGGACACACTGGCTTAAGAAAGAAAAAAGAGTTTAGTGGACCATATAACTGAACACCCACTGACAAGACTAGCTTAAGGTATGGCTAGATCCAACAAATTCAGCAATGGCTTATTCAGAAATAAGGTGGAGCTATTAGACTTTTTGACCAGCAAGTAGTTAATAACTCTTCCAAAAGGGAATAGGTTTTCTGCTTTTTAAAAGTCAATAAATCAGACTTTTCTTGGAGCTTTAGAAATCCAGGGGGTCTGCCAAGGTGACAGTGTCACTAGATGGTGTGTTGGATGTTCCACCCTAGGGCTGCCTGACCCYGGTGCCCGGGGGCCTGAGTGTCATGCATATTATATTTTTCATGGTGCACCATCAGTCTCCTCCTCCCCTGGGTGGACATGACTTCTGGGTGCCCTTGCTGCCACTCACCTGTGTGCCACCCACTTCTGGAAGCATTGCTGGTGATGYAGCTGTGTTTGAGCGCTGTGCTTGCCGCCCAACTGAACTGCCTGGCACTCATCCCATGGTCTGTGCTTCCCTTGCAGGTGAGCCTTCCCGGTGGTCCTCGCATTGTGATTGCTGCTGTAAGAACGGCAAGGGTGACAAAGAAGGGGAGAGCGGCACGTCCTGCAACGACCTCTCCACCTCCAGCTGTGACAGCCAGTCTGAGGCCAGCTCTCCCCAGGAGACGGTCATCTGTGGGCCCGTGACACGCCAGACCAACATCCAGACTCTGGACCGTCCCATCAAGAAGGGCCCAGTCCAGCTGATCCAACAGTCAGAGATGCGGCGGAAAAGTGATCTGCTCCGGACTCTGACTTCGGGCTCTAGGGAGTCGAACATGAGCAGCAAAAAAAAAGCTGTTAAGGAAAAGCTCTCCATTGAGGAGGAGCTAGAGAAATGCATCCAGGATTTCCTAAAGATCAAAATTCCAGATCGGTTCCCTGAGAGAAAGCACCCTTGGCAGTCTGAACTTTTAAGGAAGTATCATCTATAGGGGAGGGCAGCGGGGTGGGAGAAGAAAAGAACAGAAAATGAGTCACCATTTTAAAATAAACCTCCTAAAAAAGCATATTTTAAAGGAAAAGAACAAGTAATGACACACATTTGTTAGAACACGATAGTCCATTAATAAACTACTGCCTACTTTACCTAGTTCACCTTAACGTGTAAATCCACAGGGTAGATTTCTTTCCAGATGTGGAAACACATGAAAAACTCTTGTTGTTGTTCATTTGTCTGTTTGTTAACTTGGTCCCGTGTGCTGAGTATCTTACACACGATGAGAACCAGCTACAGCAGAGGGGCTGACAGGCTTTGGGAGTCATCTATCCCAAACTGGGTTTTTTTCCTCTCATCTTCTACCTCCCTCCTTTGATCAAGGATACATGGTAGAGTGAGATCTGGCCCAATGGCATAGGTTTGGATTTTTTTAAACTTTCCTTTTCCTTTGTTTAAGGGGTTAGGGGGGAATGGCAGATTTATATGACTTTTCACTTAAATCTCTATGTGCCAGTTTATATTGACTCTGTATGCATGAGTATTTGTGCCACACAAGCACAACTAAGTCTGTATATAGACACAATGCACATGACCCGGGGCCTGGGCATCCTAAGGGCTGTGCCCTGCTGCCAGCAGYCCCTCCTAAAGCACTTCACATGGATGCGCCTCTGCCTCTTTCTTAAAACCCTCCTGGGCAGATTTCCCAGCAACTCTTGGCAACACTTTCAAACATCGAATAACCTTCATCATCMAAAAATTGTTTTCCTTATTTTGAAATTAATACCTTCAGGCTCCACTTTCCTGTTTTGTTCTTTCTCCATATTTGGAGAAGGTGAGAAGAGCTAGTACAACCTTCTTTTTGTATTGGGAAAAAAAAAAAACCACTCATAGTCACAGAAAAAAAAACTACTAAAGGATCCCACACTCAGCCTTCTCTACCCTGAGTTGGATTATCACCCTCCTCTCAATACAACACTTTCATGCTGTGGTCTTTCCACATAATTCACCCAAAGTTCTCTGTACTCCTGTAGAGCTGTGGAGTTAAGAAAAACTGACAGCATTTGAGTAAGGGCCCGGCCTTTCATTTGTTTGTTTTAGAATTGCATTCCACACATTCTCCCAATAATTTCTCATAAGGATTTTAAAGGACAGTGCTACATTGTTATTGCTTGGGGCTAGTTTTGGTTGTCTTTGCGTTTCTGGGATTGGCTGTGTCCGTACTCAGATTTAGTTGTCATTTCTATTAATCATAACCCAAGTAGGCAATTGGGGATCTGAAACTAAGATGTTGGCTTTCTAAGCTATCTTTACAAATCACATCCTTTACCTGTACAGACACAGCCAAAAAGAAACTTAATAGCCACCCATTCATGTGACTCTGTATTCTATTAATGTACCAGTAGCTCCTTTGTAGACTTGTGCTTAATGAAGGTTAACAGACCAGTTTTAATTTTCAGCATTTCTCATGCATTTCAGTAGTAACTGAAAAATAATTTATTGATTATTAATTGTGTGCCAAGCACTTCTAATTTTTCATTGTGTGTGTGTGTGTGTGTGTGTGTGTGTGTAATCATAGGTAATAAAGGCAACTGGATGTCTCTAGGAGGGAAAAACTATGATCAATTTCTTCTCTTGGAAATTTTCACTGATGTGCATTTACTATGTAAGAGGTTCTGTATTGATTTCTGTTAGTGCCCATTAGTATCTGGATATCTTTCTGAATTTTTGTAACTCTTGTCTTCACACCCGGGCAATAGACTTAGCCAATGTTTTCTTGTTCTAATGGTTCAAATGGAGTTTAAGTTTTACTTAAGTGAAAAAGAAAGTTTATTTTGGAAGTTGAGATGCCAAGAGAACTATAATTTATGAATTCAAATGGTGTTCTTTTATGTGTTAATATATTAGCATATATTTGATCTTAACTACAACATAGCTTTGTTTGTAAAACCTACCAATATGTCTTCATTCTTTTCAATGTTTCTTGATGGTGCATCAAAATACCATCATTCTAATAAGAGAAGATATTGCAAAGAATTACAGAGATCAATGGGTCAAGAAGAAGTTACATTTAATGTCCATGTCAGTCAAATGATTGTTGGGGTCACTCTGGAAGGGCTGTCAAAAAAATTGGGGGCCGAAGTAAATTGGCCAAAATCCTGACTTCCTTAAATGTCAGACCTCACTGTAACGACATCAAGATAGAGAGATGCCCTGATAAAAATTGAAGAACTGGGCTGGCAGTCAACCCACTGCTTCAACAGTATACTTCAAGTAGAAAATTAAATGCTGAAAAAAAGAAAAAAGATTAAAAAAAAAAGGAATTCATAGCACTATTCCTCTAGTTCCTGACCTGTTGTGATTTCTTTTTCTGTGCAGGCATTCTTTATACCTCCATAAGTAAAACTACTAGCAGGAAATCTGCTAAAAACAATGACACAACATTTTTATTCTGGGTTGGTTCTAAATTGGCACCCATTCCACGRTTAAAAAAAAAAGTCTTAAATATTTAAGACAACAACATGGTGTTCATTTGTGTGGGTCTTGGTATAGAGATGAATGTAGACTGGGTCAGTAAAAGGGTGTAAGGAAACATGAAAGTCTTCAGTCCTACTGTGAGTGTAGTTATCACCACACAGAGTCCAGGTGGCATGTAGTTCTGGAAATAAGTTTGGGGTAAGTGAATGACAAAATTAAATGCTCTAGAAGTCCTGGAAGTCAGGTCTCTTTCACTGAAGTTAAAATAGTTTTCGGAACTTTTAGTTCAATTTTGGACAGAACAACATATGTGGTTGACTATTGAAGATTGGTTAGATAAGGGCCATAAAGTATTGATATGACGAAACTAATGGTAACTGATGGGTCAATGAGTGGGAGATCATATGTGTAGATTCCCAACTTAGGCTGTGTCCTGGAACATCTGGCAATGCTAAATTCAGTGAGGTGGGAGAGGTCATTCCCTAAAGGCACATGGGTGTCCCCAAGACATAAACATAAAGTTCTCTACCCGCTATCTAAAAGGAGTGCTCTACATTCAGAAGGAAAAGAGGAAGACAGGAAATAAAAACACTGACTCATGGAAGCAGTGTGCTCTTTCTCCTCTTCCTCAAAAAAAAAAAAAAAAAAAAAAAATCACACTGAGATGTGGTCATGGAAACAACCAAGTGAGGTGGCTTCCAAAGTATGCAGTGGTGTTTTCCTTTGTAATTACAGTCACAGATACCTTCCAGGAAATGCACGCATGGTGATTTAAAATAAAAGGTCAGGGGGAGCACACTCACAAGCATTCCCTTTGTTCTTTATCCCTCCATAGTGAAATCTGTTCCAGTGGATTCATTTGGGGGACATACATTGTTTAAAAGGGTCGGCCATAGAATTTTTCACTATTCTATTGGGCTTGTTTGATTTTGAGGCAGGTTTATYCATCTCGGAGGTGTGTAGCTCATTCTGGATTTTTCTTATTTACCACTGCTCATGTTTCTGGATTACTTTTGCTTCTCTGGGCTTTATATGCCACTCTGAGTATCCTTTGTATATGCCAAATAAAACATGCTCTATTGAGAAAAAGGAAAGGCATATGTGGTGTTTCACAAAATTGTTTGACACCAGTTTTCACAGTGGAAGTCAGACATTGATTCTCACCTGTCTTCCTTGGCTACAATTTTATTCTTCCAATTTCTTATCCACTAGTGGATTAACCCAAAGCATTTGAGTGCTGGTTTTTTGTTTTTTTTTTGCCACTAGATACAATGCTGTGGAGTTTGACTAACTTTGGCTTTCTAGATGATCTTTGCTAGAATTAATAAGACGTTTTCCATGAACTTTCAGGAAGAATTCTTTGTCAACTCCACTTGACATAGCAATTTTCTAAGGAAAAATGAAGGGAGTTATTTTTTCCCCCTGGTGCCTCTGTGGCAGATAAACATTTTGCCAATTTGCATGCTGGCTTATAGGTTTAGCATGGGCCATTTCTTTCCTTAATGTCTTGGTATTGTTGGTGTCTTGTAATCTTGTTGGCCCACTGTTCCAATTTATTTATTTTCTTTTACATTGTCAAAATAACACACTAGAGAAAGATTTAGATTGAGAATTCTGTATTTGAAGTTACAATGGAGTTAGTTGTCATTTGTACAGGACTGTACAATGATTAATATCTGCAGAGAAATTAGACCAAATGAAACCTGCTGGAATGGGTTTGATTTATATTGCCTTCATCATTCTGGTTTTAGATAAAATGGTCATTGCTCTCCACCCCTGCAGAAAGGAAAAGAGTCTTAAACCTTAATAATCATAGCCTTGTGATACAACCACAGAGCTTATTTGTTTGAAATGCTTGTTTTTCTCTTCTTGCTGTATACATTGGAATGGAGATTCTTTACCCTGTGACCTCCATAGCAAACATTTTAGCAGCAATTCTCAATATATAGTATGCACAAAAATCATTTGTAGCACTTTTTCCAGATCTCCTTCACCCTAAATCCAAAGAGCAGAGCCAAGGAATCAGCATTTGAGCTTGTATTCTTCATGATTTTGGTGAGATTGGTCTATGGATACCTTACATTGAGAAACTATTGTTTAGTGTGAGGTCAACATTTCTCTCACCTCCTAGTGGCACGTCTTCTCATTTTCTTCCCACTACAAATAAGTCAAAGCATGTATTTTCATCACCTTAAGAAAAAGGGCCTAAAGAAAAATATCTAGGGCTAATGCACAGTAGATTTCCATGATTCCTTTGCCATTTTATCTGCCTTTCAAATATAATCCCTTCCTTAGAAGGTTTGGTGTGTGCCTTTTTTCCCCAAATCACAAGCTTGTATCATTATAGTTTTATCCCTGGGTAGAAGGGAACATGTCTCTGAATGAGATGTATCCTTATGACACCCAATAAGGAATAAGAATATTGACCTTTCTCAAGGAGAACTATTAATTTCCTTGCTCAGTGCAAGTCAGAGAACTGAGCGTGTTCTATAATTTAATGATGTGTATGGCCCCAAAGGTGGTTCTATTGATGGTATGTACAAATATCACCATAGTGAATATGGAAGTGGTGAATGAATTCAGCTGCTTCACATCAATAAAGTCCTGAGCCATTGAACTACTTAGTTTGCCCAATTTAATTCAAGCAGGACTATGAAGCTCTCAGATAATGACATTCCTGACCTCTAACACCA